CCCCCCCCCCCCCCCCCCCCCCCCTTATTTGGAATTTTCCAGACTGCCTGGAACACCAGCCCAAGTCAGACCGGGACTGGGAGTGCCCCGAGAGGGTGGTATCGATCGTGGACCTGCTGGTGAAGCCCCGCGCGTTCGAGCACCACGAGCTGGAGGTCACGACGGACTTCAGCGCTGTGAACACGGAGAGCCTGATGAGGGTGCACACCGGGCCTTACATCAAGTTCGTGGACAGCATGGGCAAGAGCTTCAAGGTGGGGGTGTGGCGAGAATGACCGGTGGCACCGTTATGATGATTGATGAGACATTTGTTGTTGTTGTTTTTTTTTTTTTTTGCTTGTGATGGTTGTTGTTGTTGCGTTCTTGTTGTTGTTGTTCTTGTTGTTGTTGTTCATTTTGTGCTTGTGATTGTTGTTGTTGTTGCGTTCTTGTTGTCTTGACGTTCCGGTCTCTGCTCCGTACCTTCTAACACCCTTAACGATCCAACTGACGTGGACGCTTTCTGTGGTCACAGGCCTCCTATCCCACAAAAGCAAACGGGTCTCTCTCTGCTCCGTATCTTTTAACACCCGTACCGATCCAACTGACGCGGACGCTTTCTGTGGTCACAGGCCTCCTATCCCACAAAAGCAAACGGGTCTCTCTCTGCTCCGTACTTTTTAACACCCGTACCGATCCAACTGACGCGGACGCCTGCCGTGGTCACAGGCCTCCTATCCCACAGTACCCGAAAAGGGAAGGGTTTATATACATACACACGTGTGTTTTTTTTTTTTTCGTTGCGTTTCCTTTGGTATGTAGAGAGGCGGAGGGTGATTGCCTGGCTCTTGTACCCATTTTTTTTCAGTGAGGTGGATGTCGAATGTTCTTTGCGGGTTGCGGTCAGTTGGCCCACATTTTTCGAGAAGTATATTGAACGCCTGTTCGTAGGAGGCGGAGAAATGGCACCCCCCCCCAGGGCGACTTTCAAAGCTCCATTGCTCCACAACCAAGCTTGTCTGTACCGTACCGTATACCGTACCGTGGTATTCCGTAGGAGTCGGAGAGATGGCACCCCCCCTAGAGCGACTTTCAAAGCTCCATTGCTCCACAACCAAGCTTGTGTCAAAACACTAACACTAACACTAACACCAAGAATGTTCGTTTTGGAAACAACTCACCAACAACGGTGGTTTTAGAAGTAACCCCAACGGTGGGTGGGTTTAGAAACACCTAACAATGGTATTTTCGGAAACAACACCGACAATGATGGCGCTTTGCAAACAACACCAACACCGGTGGTTTTAGAAAACACCAACAATGGTATTTTCGGAAACAACACCGACAATGATGGCGCTTTGCAAACAACACCAACACCGGTGGTTTTAGAAAACACCAACAATGGTGGCTTTGGAAACATCTCATTTCGTCGAGGGCTTTCCGTGGACGTTTCGGGCTCTTTCCGCTTCCCCCTTGTTGCGGAGCAATCGAGCTTTGAAAGCCGGTCTACATGTACGGGATGTACGGGGGGGGGGGGGGGGGGGCCAAAAAACCTCCCTTGGGGTGTTT